CTGAAGAGGAATATGTTGTTGCTTTAGGGCTAATAATAAACCAGCGCCCCGAAAACCCGTCCCGCAACCAAGAGCTACAAGGCAGTAGGCCACATCACCTCCAAACTCAAATTGCCATACAAGATTTATCCTACATATAAAAAGTGAGAATAAGATGCAAACTACATCCTGGATTTCCTAGGGCTTATCACAGGTTTAGGGCTGCTTGCAGGAAATCAATGCACTTTTATTGCTACCAGCACCGTAGAAACAGTGTGATCATAGGTTGAATCATCGGGTTGGATTGATTGATACCAGCAACTAAATGCCAATCGTTGACTCGCTGTTATCTGCCCTCTATCCTTCAATTATTTCTCAGCGCTCACATCCGGGTATAGATCAAACCGCCGTTGAGTGTAGACAGGAATGCCTTTCCTCGAGGTTTGAATCGTGTCGTTATCCAAATCAGCATAAACAATAGTCTCTTTATCTTCAGCCTCCACCAAGATCTCTGCACTAGGATTGGCGATCAGACTATGACCCCATGCGTGGTAAGTGGCATCCATGTCTCGAGCCGGGCTGCACAGCCCCACATACACCTGGTTATCCACGGCACGAGCGCGCGCCAACAGCGACCAGTGCAGCGGGCCTGTAGTCGTGTTGAAAGCGCCCGGGTATATCAGCGCAAAAGCACCCTTCCGCGCAGCAATCATGGCCGCTTCGGGGAAACGGATATCATAGCAGATGGCGAGACTGATCTTTCCATACTCCGGTAGATCGACAACCGTCAACTGGTTCCCCGGTGACAGGACCTCGCTCTCCTTGAAAGTGATCTTGCCCGGGATATCGATGTCAAACAGATGAGTCTTGCGATGGGTTCCGATTAATGAGCCCGTGGGGGAGAAAACAAGGGAGGTGTTGTAGTATTTCTTCGTTGCGGGTTCTAGTTCGGGGATGCTACCTCCCACCAAATAGGCCTTGGCTTCTGCGGCGATAGCCGAAAGGGCATGGTAGGAGGGGGATTGTTCCTCAGTGGGAGGCGACGGGAGAAGAATTTCGGCGTATTTGGGGAAGTATTGGGTTCCGTACGGCGAATTGAAGCATTCCGGGAGAACGATGAGCTTCGCTCCGGCCTGTGCTGCCTCGAGAACCTTAGTCCGAGCGTGGGCCAAATTGACGGCTTTGTCCGCGCCTGTAGTCAGATTCGCTAGTTAGTATGGTTCCAGATGGTGGGGGAGGGGGCTACTCTAATGAGGGTCGGTCGTATGGGACAAAACAAGGTAAGACATACCGGATGCCAGCTGCACCAGGGCTAATTTCAACGGCTGTTTCAATAGAGCGGCCATAGTTATTGGGGGCGACGAGAAATGAGATGCGACCAGAATGGGGAAGAATGTTGAAGAGGAAGTCTGTGCCTCCTGCGGGGGGGTGTATACTTTAGTTCTTAGGGTGTAGATAGTGTCGGCGTTGGAGACGGTTGGAGTAATTCGTGGAGTCCGAGAAAAAGGACCCGTCACTCATCGGCGACGGCATCCAACTCCGGCCCCTAATTTTGCTTACTCCCGCAGTCTTCAATGTCACATAGTTTCCCGTATTGACCTCTCTGTGTATAGCTAGAAGAAAATGATATGTAGTTAACTTTATCACAATCTTTATACATTATTGATTTGTCACAATTCCATCGCACTGCCGAAGTTCATTACTCTGACAGAGTTGAACCTGTTCTTCAAGATTGATGATGTACACCAAAAGGAAAGATGCATTAGTGTTTCATACTACAACAATTCACTCGGATATGGCCGTATTTAGCCGAGTAATCCCGTGAAGTAGGACTGGGTATTATTGCAGGAGTCAGTGTCGCATATTCAGCCCAAGGCAAGAATTAATTAACTGGGGGACTGCAAAAGATGCAAATGGATCGATCAATTAATTTGCAGGATCACGTGTGACGAGTCTGGCCGCAGTCCATTTAGTGAAGTTAATAACCAGAAACAAACCCCTGAGAAAGAACGCACTGATATTCTGTTGGCTCTTCCAGAGAATACGACACGAATAGGGGATACGACTCATTTCAGCTTCTCTTCCTTTTTTTAATACTTCCTTTCTCCTACTTCTAACCTCTCCACACATCATGACAATCCTACTTATTTCACTCCTTTCTCGATTCCGGTCAACGGTCCTCAACGGCGGCTCGACAGCCAATTGAAAGCAACCCAAACGGCCTTTCCGCGCGGAACGTTAAGAACATTCCCCACGAACTGTTCCATTCGATTTGCCCCCCAGTGGTTCGGTGGTTCCTGTTCAGGAGCGAGGGCTAAAAAAATTAAAAATTAAAAAGGAAAAATTGGCAGATTGGCCACCGGCACTAGTCGCCTTATATCTGACCACAGACGCGCTTTTCTTCGGAGCCTTTTTACACTCCAGACCATATGTTCCCGTCAACGTGGTATTGATATACTTATACTTACCCTGCGGCCTGCCATCACCCAAGGCTACAACATTGACCGTTGGGTTATAAGGAATCAAAAAACCACTTGTCACGGTGTACAATTTTTTCTTGGTTTAATATATCCTCGCTTGACGCCATTCGAGTCGGATTTGTGCAAATAATACAAGATGTTCGAGGACTTCTCTTTCTCGTCGCCCTCATCCACTAGGCCACCCCGCCTTGCCTTCGATGGCGACGACAAACTCATGGTCGATTCTGACAGCAGTCTGATTTCCCCACTATCATCGCGCTGCCCTTCCCCTCGTTCTAGGACGACACACCGGATCCCCAGGCCTTTGCCTCGCTCGCGATCCTCCCACTTCCGTTCCGCTCAACCCCCCACCTCCGTTCCCTTATCCGCCTACGAACAACACCACAAGCGTCTCTCGATCAGTACATTGACACGAAAACTGCATGAACACACAATTCAGAGCGCAAACCATGAGGCCCGGTTTGACAGACCCGCGACACCAACATCGCCCCAGTCCATCGACATGGCCACCCGCTTCCCGGGATACTTCCTGACGCCTCCGGACACAGACCAAGACGATGAGGGTCTCTGCGATTCTTCGTCGCTCACCTCTCCCTCTCTCTCTCCACAGCCCCAGTCCCCTTTCTTAAGCCCAACATCTGTTCCGTTAGTGTCGTCGGAGCCCTTCCATCAGAATGCGGACCTCGATCCTCTATCCAACGGCGGCATCCAGGATAGCTGGAACATACGTGCGCAGCGTCAGAACATCTCCCGTCTCCAATGCAACCATTCGGAGATAGAAGCCATTCGTCATGCTCTCTTCTCCGAGGATCAGAAGTCCAACGCCTTCGACCCAGACGCCTGCCACCCCAGCTCTATTCCTCCGCAGAAGTCTCCCCGCCGGAGAGCTGCCACGCTTCAACGGAACCGGTTCAGACCTCAATTGGGCCCCAGCCTTTTGGACCCGCCTACCACCGATTCAAAGGGCCGGAGAATGAGCAGCTCTGTGGCAGTACAGGCGTCTCGCATCGAGAAAAGCTACCCTTCATCATCCTCTCGGGATTTTAGAAAGAAGAGTGAGCAGGGGCTCAGGCGGAAGAGCCTTGTCAGTGCTGCTTTGGCATCGATGGCCGAAAAAGACTGCTAAGTTCTCTCTTCTCCCATGTTTCGGTCTTGTCTTCAGCCTTGTCAGTGCTGCTTTGGCATCGATGGCCGAAAAAGACTGCTAAGTTCTCTCTTCTCCCATGTTTCGGTCTTGTCTTCAGCCTTGTCTTCTTTTCGGATGGATATATTTTACCATTCTTTTCTTCTTGACGTCTTCGAACTTTCTTGTACATATTGTAGGTAGATACCCAGATTGTATGATTATCGGTTGGTTAATATCGGCGGCGGCACGGAGGCAAGGGTAATTGTTATGCGGAATATGTTATATGGGGGTGCATGGTTCGTTTCGTTTTAAGTATGCATATGAAATATCTACGGCATAGCCGAATCAATATCAACCTGGCATCCCACGTTTTACTTTAATTCACACTGCGTTGTCTTTCGGTAGAAGTGAAATTCGCGGTACGGGCGCATCTATTTGGCGAAAGCGCCCCCGTTCCCATTTGGCATCGTCGCGCGTGCTCTGAAAGACCCTTTAACCCAATCCTCTCCTCGCCAACAGTTCTAGAATGAAATTGAAGCACAAAGAGCAAAAATGAAGAGATCGTCAGCGAGAGGATTCGAACCTCTGCACGCGAACGTATTACATTTCGAGTGTAACGCCTTAACCACTCGGCCACACTGACTTCTTAGATTTGAATAGTACTTGATAGGCGTATAAGACCCAGGGAGTTAGCGAGCTATCCCTAGCCGCAGAGTTCCTAGGGTTACTATTAAATATCAATCTACCTAAAGTTCCTATTTCAAATACTTCCGCAGGTACAAAATATACTCAGGCAATCTGTACACTTTTCTTACCGTCAGACAATCAACTGCTAGACTATAAAAGGCGTCTAGACTGTACTGGATAGGTAAGGAAAACCAGCTCTCGCTAATATAAATAGACAAACGAAGAGGCAAAAGAATGCTATACAACTCACCCCCTAGAGGTCAACACCTGAAGCTCACACTCAACCTCTCTGCCCCTACCGGCTTCCGAATCACCGGCTATGCCGTACAGCCTCATAGTCATGTTCCACTACAGTTGATGGTTCAAGCCTTCTCATTGCCTGATTCGGTAACCCAGTTCACCTGACCTGGTCCACTACTTCTGCATGCATTTCTTCTTCACCAAGTTCAGTATCCTAGTCCGCGTTGTTATCTTGTTCTTGCGTCGAGCTAGTTGCCACAGGGTCCACCATTTGAAACTGCGGCAGTAGACCATAGCGAAAGCGTTCACCTTGCTTAGCGTTACCGTGGACGTTTCATGAAGTTTTGATCTACTATTTTATTGTATCACTGTAATAGATGAAGTCTACTACGATATCACTAACCAAAAACACAAAAGTTACCAATTCTGGAAATTGATATACTTAGGTAGTGTGGAAAATGGAGTAGTAGAAGAAAAAAAAGAAGAGCCGTCAGCGAGAGGATTCGAACCTCTGCACGCGAACGTATTACATTTCGAGTGTAACGCCTTAACCACTCGGCCACACTGACTGATTTGATAAGTTTTGTGCTGAACTAAGTTATATATGAAAACATATTTGATATCACGAAGAATATCATGGCAGTTTATGTTTTGGCTATGTTCTATGTATCCTCTTTTGACTTTATATTGAATGTCTACGAGTACGCACATACACACCTAGCACCTTGCGTATAGCAAGACCCACAATTTCGTGGTCAAAGGGGCCACACTATCATTGCTTCTCCATCGTCAACCCGACTCACTTTGTATACCCCAAGGTCTTAAAAAATGGTATAACTTAGAATAAAAAGAGGAGCTTTAAAAAGGGAGGGGGGGAAGAAAAATAAAAGGAGGGAAACTAAATGGAATAGAAGATAGGAAAATATAGAAAAGATAAAAGCTGTGCTTCTCAGAAGCACAAGTCAGCCCGGGTAGCCAGCAAGAAACAGGCATAGACAAGAGCAGCCGGTCACAGCAATGATCATCAGTCGTCAAGTGAATAACACCACCACATAGCAAAGGTAGGAGTTGATTAAAATAACTAAAACAGTACTACTTCACCTACCTTCCGGGAAAGAATCGTTTCTTGTGGAATAGCCCGCAGAGTTTCCCGAAAGGCCCCTTACGCTTCTTGCGACTAGTGTTTGATCTTCGGGTAGGTCTGCGATGGACGCGGATCTCAGTATTTGGAGTCATCTCTTGAACCGTAGGGATATAGGGGTGGCTGCTAGTTGGATCTCTGCCAACGTCGTATTGCCAGAGGGCGTCGTGGAGAATCATTGGTTGGCTGTCTTCATAGACTGGAGACCCTGGCTCGCCTAGGTCACTTTCATTAGACAGGCTGGTGCATGGCCTTGGCCTGGAGTCTAGGTATTGAGACATGTTGAGGTCGGTTTCCTCGAGTAGCTCGTTGATGGAGGGCATTGGGTGATGGTAGCCTTGCGTGTCGCCTATGTCAAGATGGGTCCTTTGGCCCTCTTCTTCGAGAGCTTGGGTTTGTGTCGCTGAATTATAGGACCACGGGTCCTCTTCTATGATCACGGTGTCTTCGGTGATGGTCGAAATGTAGGAGTCTCTATTGCGGCCAGTGGAATAGCTGTCGACATCCTCGATATAGGAGACGATGCGAGAAAAATGGAGTGATTCATGGGGATTAAGGATTTCGAATGACGTTCCGTGATGAATGACGGTTGCTGTGGGCTTCTTGACATTGAGTAACATCGAGTCGGAGTAGGTTTTTGTATGTCTGCGGATGGACACCGGTGGTTCAGGACCGGAATGTGGAACTGGTTTGAGGTCTGGATCGGGATATCTCTCAAGTCTATCTCGGAATGTATCCTGTATGACTCTGGTTAGCTACAAAGATAACCGTACTTCGATATAAGCGAGTTGCGGCTTACCAGGATCTTATTAGGGTTTTGTTTGAGATAAGCGTACTCTGAGTTCATATCTACTGAGCAGGGGGTCCCTGGAGCTAAATTCGCAAGTAAGCACGGGTCTATTGGAGATATGTAGCGGCAATATCTCATACAGAGGAACCCATCCAGACTCTCAGGGTGCTCACTTAGAGCACAAGGTGAATGCGACGGAGACAATGGCGGCGGGCTTGATGCCACCGATGAGGCGGAGAACGGATAATCAAAGATGTTGTCCAAGGACATTTGCGACTGGTTTAAGTTTAGCGCAGCATTCTTTCGCCTCAATGTCTTGCTGTCGGGTCTTTCGACGGTAGCCGAGTCGTAGCTCGACATATATTGGCGGTAATCATGCAGAGAACGAGTTCCTGCTTTACACATGGCGTTCAAAGATGTCGATTGTCGAGAGTGATCAAGCTCCCGAGTTGGAGATAATGGTAATGGAGACAATCTCGCTATTGTTGGGGCCATGGCATCCATGCGGTGAAGATGGAGAGGGCCATTGCCGCCGTTTGGATCTCTCATACTGCCGCTTATGGGGTCCATAGTCTAAATTCAATAGTCGGTTGTCTTTGTTGACCTGTATAAAAAGAAGAAAAAAAAAAGCCGGCATGTCCCGTTCTGTGCTGATGCATTGAGAGGCTGTCTTTGGCTAAACCTCCGGCGTAGGGTATCTCAATCCGTATTTGAAAATGATGATATCAGCATAGTTTTTCAGTCCGACGGAGAGAAGGGCCTGGATCGAACCCAGGGAAATTCAGTGGAGTCTATTTATTGATAGATGGGACGAGACCGTATGTGGAGTAAAGCCAGGTACTGAGAGAGGGGAACAATAGATACGCAGGAAACACCCGCCTTGAAGAAAGACACAAAAACAAATAAGACGAGAACGATGGAAAACAAAGAGTGCAAATAAAAAGAAAAGAAAAAACTAAGAAAAGAAAAAGAAAGCACAAAAAGAGACCGACTTGAAGTGCGAACCTCTTTAAGTCACATTGCCAAGTCAAGCAGTTGACGTGCAGTTGGTGGAGCCAATCATGAGCATCGAGACATCAATGATGATGACCAGTCCAGTTGAGCATCGTCATGGCCATCTTCACCATTCACTGCCTCTTTTCTGGTTGGGCATCAGCTAACGTGGCCCAATCTCGGGAGATGCAGAGCGTCCCTCCAGCCTCAGTAGTGTCACTTTGCTCCTGGAGGTTGCAGGGACTTTTTAGAGTGGATAGCCGGTAAGTGGTTCAGATCATGAAGATCTTTGTTTCAGTTTGCGACCCTCCATCTAGCGTCTGGAGCTAATGATGAGCCTTGTGGACAGGGAACCACTCCCATTTGTTCGCAGAGCTGACACCAACAGTCCAATCAACATTCAACTCCCATTAGAGTTGCTCCTAGATTAAAAAAAATAAAAGCTACCCAGTTGTATACATCCACGCCTTTCCTTCCAATGTGGCAATGGTCATCTGGTGATTTTGTTTTTTACTTTTTCTCTTCTCTTATTCTTGTCCTATTGTAATTTTTTTCCCCTATTTTTCTCTTTCTACATGAATGCTGCTTTATTATGTTTTCTCGCTCCCATTCAGCCTTGTTGCATGCCTTCCCTTCCATTTATCATGTCGTCGTCCGTTTTGTATCACCTTAAGAGTAACAAATCGGGGGAAGAAGGGGGATACAGTGTACAAAGACCACAGAAAAAAGAAAACATGGCATGATGTAGGCGTGTCCACATTGCAGCCCTGTTCTGCACATGTAGTCCTACATTCCTGTCCGCCCCGATCAACATTGCAGTAGTGTAGCAAGATGTTGTCATGCCATGTTTTAATGGTGATACCATGGAAGAGTTCCAACCCCCTGTCTTCCCAGTGCAAAGGAGAAAATAGAGAGGCATAAAGAGAGAGAATGAGGGTGGGAAAGGGAATAACGCGAGGGATTAACATACAAATTATCATATTCCGTTCTAGATCATTTGGCCGGTCTTCATATTGTGTCACTTAGATAGACTCAACCAGAATCGCCATAAGATCACAAAACTGTTTGCTGGGGAAAAGAAAGAATACTCCGAGCCAAACACCAGTCATGCTTAGATTTCAACTCCTAGAAAAAAGCAAAAGTGTATCAGGGGTAACTATGGGAATCAAGATAGCATCGTTATATCATCATCATGAGCCAATACGCAATGTCCTGACGGCTAACTAGATCTCAGGTACCTGCCTGTGCGTCGGTCTGCTCAATTATGTACCAAGGTTACTACTCTGAGCAACCTCATATCGGAGGAAAGAATGTCGCAATAAAAGCATTGAATCAAAGAAAATAGGCACTCGTATCAGCAACCAAAGAGAGAGAATTGGTGAAAGTTAACCATCAGCAAGAATCTGTGAGCAAAATGTTGAACGAACTCTAGTGGCGTTTATATTTCTAGGGGGTAGAAGTCAACGCATGCTCGACAAGACAAAGGAAGGGGGTGAAGAAATGACTTACATCTTCCATTTTTCGTCTGTTGCTTGGATCCAACGTGTTGCCGGCTCCCAAAAGCGTCTGCCCAACGGCTTTGGATACTCCGATGGCAGGGCGAAGAATAACCGTTGGAGCACGCTTCCAGACAACCTTTGCAGCTGCCTTCGCACTCCCACTCTCAACAACTTCACCAGGGACAGCAACAATGGCATCACGGGTCAGGAGCAGGTCGCGCTCCAATCCCCTGAACGCTCCCCGAAGGCCTTGGAAAACCCCAACCGGTTGATCTGCATAGGGGGAGATCTTGTTTGCCTCTTCTTCATCAAATTGATCTTCCTCCGTGCTAGCCAACTGTGCATTGGGGGTGGTCAGTAGATCTTCTGCGCCCTGCAGTACAGTTTGGGTACCAATGGCGAGTTTAGCACCGAGCTTCACGAGCTCGTTGGATGTGGTTTTGGCAAATGCGAGCGCCCCCTTTTGGATACTCCGTACAATGCGGCCATCCTTGCGATACTCGCGCATGGGAACCACCACTAGGTCCTTTACCCCTCCCCCCACATTGACCAGGGATCTGATCGGAGCGAGACCAGCGAGGACACCTGGTAGCTGATTGCTCTTGATATCTGGCATCCATATATCATTGAGGGTCTGACCAAGCTTGTCAAATCCGGACACTCCGTATATGATGACATGCCGCATGATCATGTCGGCGCCGTCTAGGACGAAGAAATTCATGAACTCGGTGGTGCGTCCAGACCTGAGGCCCGTATAATCGACTCGCTTGGGCTTGAAATCGAGTTTCACCGGTGTGGCATTGATTTCAACTCTCTGTAGAAATGGAATATCCCCCGGAGTACTAGGAGCGGGAGCCGAATCATCCCTAAATTCGAAGAAACGACTCAGAAACTCAAGGGCGTCTTGATCAACGTGTAGCCTTAGAGGAAGTATAGTGGCCTATCATATTGTTAGGAAACTTACAGGTTGTCGGTTTGTGAGGTCTTCCGGTTTTTACTTACCTTCAGAACTATCTCAGACGCGGCGAGTTCAGGCACCGGCCTTACGGTCAGTATTTCTAGATGTACCATACTAGTTCCACTTTCTTTTTCACCAGCTTCATGCATATAGGTGGCGAATTTCTTCCATGTCGAAGTAGGCACATG